CCTCATCATTCTTATTTATAAGATTGATTCAAACAATAATATATTTCTTGTCGAAAGAAATTCTTTCTTAGAACGAAACAAAACACTACACAGTTTTCAGAATTGTCTTTCATTTGCCGTCACTTCGCAAAAAATACAGAAAAAAATTGACATCAATATTAAACTTATACAAAAAGGAAAAAAAATCGAAAAATTTATAAGCAGTAAATTGCTGACAGCCACTGGTTTTGAATTCAGAGTTCTAAATCTCCTAGATTGGTTGCTCAACTAACGCTAATGCTGAAGAGCCCAGGCTATTCTCATATGTAACCCTTAAATCTTAGAATTTGTTTTTGAAGGGCGATCGGTCAAATCGGAATTCGACACATCAATTCCACGTCAATAAAGGTTGCTCTACCTTCAAATTCAAAATATGCATAATTCTTTTAATAAAAAACAATTTTAATAAGCTTTGTTCTTATCCATCTTTAATTAAGCAATGCAACATTCTCTTATTTTTTTTCCCTTTTTCATGTGTTATATGCTACATTACAACGTACTCGCTTGTTTATAGCTGTGCTTGGAAGGAAATTGTGTGAAGTGCAGTCGTCACACCACACTACAGTGATTCCATGATTGCATGTAAATGGTGTACAATTTAATACAATATTAAGAAATTGGGGAAAAGGAAAAAAAAACATACCAAAACAGCAACAAATTTATCGGAAAACAGAGTACCACTTCATTGTTTATTTCATGACTCGTTGACAAAGGACACAGATGTGTCAGAAAATTCCGATTATAAAATATTTAAAATCTATCTCTTCGTGCTTCTGTTTTGTCAAAAGGCCTACTAATATAACATAGATATTATTATTCTTATTAACAATATTTTATCATTTTGTTGTCTTTTTCTTCTTCGAATTTCATTACCACCCTATTAACGCCCCCCTCTCTCTCTCTCTCTCTCTCTCTCTCTCTATATATATATATATATATATATATATATATATATATATAGTCCACTGGAAAATTAAGTGACACGTCATATCTGCTCAGACGTACTCACACACACACACACACACACACACACACACATATATATATATATATATATATATATATATATATATATATATATATATATATATATATATATTAATGCAACCATGTTTCCCAAAACTGCATCTGTTTCTTTCCCTCTTTCCCTATCCGCCTTTTTAATCCCAGTCTTTTCTTTGCATTTTATGTCATATCTCGCTTGGTAGAATTTGTATGAATCGTTCTAATTTATGCATATTTGTGTTTTCCTTTTTGCCAGGAACATCGACTCAATATCCGGTCTATTTAGTTCCGAAGTTTGATATCTGGCGTCGATCCAACATGGGACAAAGACTTAAAGCACAATCAAGCGTCCTTCATCCCGACTAATACAAAAAAAAATAAATAAAAAAAATATAAACAAGCTAGGAAAACATAAGAAACCATCATGAGGAAGTGACAAGTCGAATAGAATGCAATTCGGCCAAATAGGATATTAAGACAATATTTTATATCTTCTGAAGTAAAAATGAATAGGAAGGAATAATTTGGGGGAAGGGTTGTTTTACATTAAAAACACGTGAATAAAAGTTGCATGGTCGAAGTTCTGTAATTTTATTCAAAAACACAAGATTTAAAATCATTTTGAATTGGAACAGATTAATCGACACTACGGAAATCTATACAATTAGCTGACGTTCAGCATCTTGTCGAACATCACTCTTCTAGTTAAAAATAAACGATCTCATATTCTTTCTGCCTTAATATCTGGGATGAGGGGTTATAATTATTTATATCATTTACATTCGGGTTATTGTCCTCATCGTTGTTGTTGTCATGGTGACGTTTCGGGCGTTGTGCTCTCCGGACTTCATCAGTGGTTTATCGAACTGTGTAACCTACAGTGAATTCTGAATTGAAATTTTATTTAATTTCCGGGGTAGATTCTTCTCGTCCCACCATATCTAGTGATAACTGAGCAGCACTAAAACTAAGAACTAAACATTGCCGAAAGGTAGACACTTTTCACACACACACACACACACACACACACACACACACACACACACACACACACACACACACACACACACACACACACACACACACACACACACACACAAAACACACATATATATATATATATATATATATATATATATATCTATACTTAGTGCACACTGAGCGCAGGTAGTAATTTGTACTCGACGATTACCATAAGCATGAATCTCCGAGTAGCGTCAAGCAGTTAGAAATTTCAAAACCATAATAAAAATAATTTAAATGCGATCGTGTTAGTTGAAATTATTCAAACTTTGTTTGATTTATTACCGCGTGCGCACACACACACACACACACCATTATATATATATAAATGTTTTGAACAATAAAAAATTTTAAAAATTAAAATTTTCAGACACACTGTATTGCATATAAATATATCTTTAAACATTTCAATTAGGTTCGTCAAATAATTTCGGCTAACATTACACACACAACATACATATATATATATATATATATATATATGTGTGTGTGTGTGTGTGCGTGTGTGTGTGTGTTAGGCCAGCTATTACTCATTAATGAATATTTGATTTAAAACCAAAGAAAGTTCCTTGTAGACTATGTTTATTTAGTTTTTTTTTTAATATTTCTTAAATATTTTTTAGATTCTGTTTCGGATTTCTAAATATATATTCCCATTTCTAAGCATTTTTCACTAAGACTAGCCATTTTCAAACATTTTTTTGTTTTGTTCTGTCGTCAGTTTATTTTCGCGTGTTGGCTTTCATTGCGTTCCGTCTGTCCCCCGCTGGAGTCCTTACCCTCCAGATTTTTAATGCGAACCAAATATTTTTAGTATTCGAGGTTCGAGGTTTGATGTAATTTTGTTAATCTTTGGCTGTTGGATCTTTTTGCTCAGTGCCTTGAGCAATTGCTGTCGCTTTTTTGCACTTTATGTGGTGAAGCAACCTTTGTGTTGTTTTTAAGGATTTATTTCATTTCCTGTTTCTTTTTATCGTTTCTTTTCGGTTGTTATGGGGTGCATATTAATGGAGCTGTTGCTGGATATGTGGCATGTATAATTATGATCTAATAAACAGGTGATACGTTTTAAAATGGGTTGATTAAGCAGGTGATATGTTTTAACATGGGTTGATTTATCAGATGATATTTTTTTAATATGGGTTGATTTATCAGGTGATATGTTTTAATATCGGTTGACTAATCTGGTGATATGTTTTAATATCGGTTGATTAATCAGTTGATGTTTTAATATCGTTGACTAATCAGGTGATATGTTTTAATATGGGTTGATTTATCAGGTGATATGTTTTAATATCGGTTGATTAATCAGGTGATATGTTTTAATATCGTTGACTAATCAGGTGATATGATTTAATATGGGTTGATTTATCAGGTGATATGTTTTAATATCGGTTGATTTATCAGTTTTAATATGGTTGATAATGATTTAATATCGGTTGATTAATCTGGTGATATGTTTTAATATCGGTTGATTAATCTGGTGATATGTTTTAATATCGGTTGATTAATCAGGTGATATATTTTAATATCGGTTGATTAATCAGGTGATATTTTTTAATATGTGTTGATTTATCAGGTGATATGTTTTAATATCGGTTGATTAATCAGATGATATGCTTTAATATCGGTTGATTATTTAGGTGATAAAATGTGTTCGATGCTCATTTAATGCCCAAGATCCTGTCTCTTCCATCTAACATCACACTTGTAAAAATACGACAATAATAATAATAACAATAATAATAATAATAATAATAATAATAATAATGATGATGATGATGATAATGATGATGATTAAATTGAAATCTCCAAAACCTGGCACATAAAGACATCAACAATTTCAATTGTAGTTGGTGTCCTAGGATTGATTGTAAAAGATTACAATAGACTCGTTGAAGTGATTCCTGGAAGTTCATGCCTTAAAGAAATACAAAAAAATGTACTCACACCTTACGAAGGGCTTTATGCAAAATATGCGAGATCTTTGTTTATTATGTTTTTTTCCCCTCAAAAACGCTTAGTGGAAAATGTTATGATGCCATTTCTGTCCTTCAGTCTCTGTTTGAGACTCGGAAAGAATTAGGTATACACCAGACATGAAAGGCGGTAATAATAATAATAATAATAATAATAATAATAATAATAATAATAATAATGGCGCAGGTAAAACCCTGCTCAAGGATTAGAAATCATGATAGGATGATTTAGAAATACTGCGTTGCATGGCTCTGCAAAGAAAGTTGCCGGAGATGTAAGGAGAGTTATAGTCACTCAATAACCAGGAAAAACCGCTTGTATGAACATAAAAATGATCAAATAATAATAATAATAATAATAATTATAATAATAACAAATCTATTATTATCATCATCATTATGTTAATTATTAATGCGTTGACAAAAACGAAGAATATGCTTTGATTGAAATAGGAATGTTTTTTTATCATTTTTTCGAAAGTAATAATAAAACGTGCTTGTGTTTTTTTGTTTTTTTTTTGTTTTTCCTAAGTCTTTTTCTAATTTGTTTCGTATTTCGTGGGGGTGGGCGGAGTTATTTGTAAGTTTGCCATTTTCTAGCGTCTGCTTTTTTCGAGGCAACGATGTGACAAGGGAAGAAAGCAGGCTACCAGAAAAAAAGAGCCAATAGTTTGATTTACAAGTCAATTTATCAACATCGCCCGCATCTCACCTCTCCATTTGCAATGTACTCCCGACCCGTTTTTCTTTTCAAAAGGTGTGGCTGTCGCTTGACTGAGCCCCCAATCAATTTCCAAAAACTTTTATCCAATCCTTAATTCTCTTAACCGTTTGCTTTTTCATTTCAACTTCAGGGCGCCTTATTGTTTTTTGGGGTTTTTTTTCTAGATTTTTATTATTAGTTTTTCTGACTTTACATTTCTATCAGTTACCTCGACCCGCTGTTTACTTAAGACTATATTTTCTATCTTCTTTTTCTCGTGTCTGTCTGTCCGTCTATCTTTCTTTTCTATTTGCACGATCGTATCTTTCAATATATTCTTTCTAACTTTTTTCTTTCATTTTCACAGTCATATATTTCAACTTATTCTTTCTTTCTGTTTTTCTTTCTTTTTTTTTCATGTCTGTATATTTCACGATATTTTTTCTTTTTTCTTTCTTTCATTCTTTCTTCCGTACTTTCTCGTCCTCTTTCTTTCTTTCTTTTTCATTCTCGAATCTTTCAATATATTCTTTTTTTCATTTTCATGCTCGGAGATTTCAATGTATTATTTATTGTTTTTTTCCCTTTTTTCTTTTTTCATGTCCGTATCTTTCACTATATTCTTTATTTCATTCTTTCTATTATTTTTTTTCTTAATTCTCGCCCACATATCTTTCTTTCTTTCTTTTTAAATCACTTTTCTTTCTCTCTTTCTTTTTCACGCTCGTATCTTTCAATACATTCTTTCTTTTTATCTTTTTTTAATTTTCATGCTCGTATATCCCAATATATTATTACTGTCTACTTTCGTTCCTTCGTTCCTTCTTTTTCATGCCAGTATCTTTCGTTATATTCTTTCTTTCTTTCTTTCTTTCTTTCTCCCTCTCATATTTTTTCTTTATTTATTTATTTTTTTTACACATGTTTCTTTCTTTCTTTCTTTTTTCTAGCACTAATCTTTCAATATATTCTTTCTTTCTGTTTTTCTTTCTTTCTTTTTCATGCCTGTATCTTTCACTATATTTTTTCTTTCTTTTATTCTTTCTTTCTTTCTCCCTCACTATCTCGCCACCATATTTTTCTTTATTTCTTTTATTTTTCACTCTCAAATCTTTCAATATATTCTTTCTTTCATTTTCATGCTCGGAGATTTCAATGTATTATTTATTGCTTTTTTCCTTTCTTTCTTTTTCATGTCCGTATCTTTCACTATATTCTTTCTTTCTTTCTTTCTTTCTTTCTTTCTATCATTCGTTCTTATTTTCTCGCCCTCATATCTTTCTTTCTTTCTTTTTTGCGCCTGTATCTTTCATTGTAATCTTTCTTTTTGTTTTACTTTCTTTCATTTTCATGCTCATAAATCTCAACATAGTCATTCTTTCTTTCTTTTCCACGCTCGTATCTTCCTTTCTGTCTTTCTTTATTTTCCATGTTCCTATCTGTCAATATATTCTTTCTTTATTTCTTTTCTATTCCCGCTCGTATCTTTCTCTCTTTCTTTTCCACGCCTTATCTTTCACTATATTCTTACTCTCTATCTTTTTCACATTCGTATATTTCTTTCTTTTTCACTGTCGTAACTTTCCATATATTCTTTCTTTCTTTCTTTCTTTCTTTCTTTCTTTCTTTCTTTCTTTCTTTCTTTCTTTCTTAG